GGGATTTTGTGGCAAGCACATGTTTGAGTTAACCAAATTTTGGCACTCAAAATTCCTGGATTTTTCCATTAAATGAAGTCAACATTTTGATTTTCTTCCTTTTAATTCAATAATTAATTTGAATAATTAATTTCAAATTAAAGTAACATTAAATGATTAATTTAAACTATTTAATTAATATTTAATATTAATTCAAATGCCAATCCCAATCAATTCCGACACATAATTGATTAAGATATTTAAATCTTATTTAAATATCTCAAATTCTCTCTTTTTGATTAATTCGTAAATAAAACAAAAATGCAGTTAAATATATCGTATATATGTAGCGCATATTCCCTGATTTGAATTCGAACACTTCGAACTCACTCATCACACTGTTCTATGGTTTAGTCCGATATGAACTAGCAGAGGGACCTAATGGACCTATAGATCATGAGCTCCAACGATCCAAGATTAACTGGTAAAACTTATTAACCTTGTTAACCAACATTCGTTAACTACTAGGACACTCCACTATAGCCTAGCAGTTGCACTCCCCTCACTATAGATATATTTCTGTCCATTTGATATAACCATGATTAGTAAGTCGATCCTTCACAGGTTGTTCATAATTAGAGCTGGGTCAATTAGCCGTTTTACCCCTGAAGTTACTTCTTGTTCCTTATGTCCCACTGATCCTCTTGTGAACAATTGGTTTGTGGTTCAACTAGTAAACCAAATCCCTCTCAGGCCAATGAGTGGGTGGGGCCCCTTGTTCAAGACCTGGAGTCAGTACTTAAGGGAACTACCTCTCTTCTATCCCTAAAAGTGGGTAGGAGCGAATTCCATCTTGCACCCCACGTCCCCAGCTATTCACCCAATCTTACCTCTGAAATGGGAGGCCTATTGAGTCGGCGAACTCGAGCCACTCTCACCCATGCAAATCTAAGGATAATTCTGAATGAACAGGAGTTCATGGTTAGCTTAGGATTAAGATCGAGTTACCTAGGTCATCGAATGAAAAGAAAATCAGTCTCAACAGTAAACGACATTATAAAGAGAGAGTGATTTTCTTCATGGTCCGATCTTATGCAATACTCATTGCATAAGACGCCCCCACTCACATGTCTCCACCTGTACAATTTAGTGATCATATTGTTTATATCATATACAAAAGTGAGCCGCATCCATAGTGTCTCCAGAATAAGGTACTCAGCCTTATCCTTATACTATAGATCATTTTGACTATATACTTGAACTTGATCCACTTTTATGTCTCTACATATAATTCAAGTAATCATACTATAGTCAGAGTGTTCTTTGTTTATTGGATTTAGATTAATGATCGTAAAGTTCACTTTATTCAATAATAACTTTATTTTAAATAGAATATGTCTTTGTTTAGAAACTATGAGTTTTAAGACATAAAACCCAACACTACTATATATAGCTATTTACCATATATAGCTTTGCCGGATATAGCTTTACCAAATATAGCTTTACCGGATATAGCTTTATCGGATATAACCGTTGACCAAGATATAAATAAGCAACAGACTCCATAACCTAACAATTCTCCCACTTGTAGACTGATCTAGTCAACCAAGAATTTCATTCTCAAACGACCTTGAGCATCTTCATGGCACCATATCAATTGAGGCTTTGCACAACCTCAATATTCCAACATCAACACATTTTGTCAACATGTTTGCTGGATTCTTTGCACCCTTTATCTTCTCCAAACACATCCCCATCTTTCACTAACCTGCAAGTAAAATGGTATCGTCTTCTGTGTTTTCTCTTTAAATGATAGACCGGGTTCCTTCGCCAACTGTATGACACTTTGACTATCTCTAGAAAGAGTATCTTCGTCTACTTCTTGCTCATTCTTCCAGATAGTCAGTCATCCATATCGTCTTCTTTCCAGATTCAGCTATTGCCACATACTCAGTCTCAGTACAACTCATTTTTGAAGCCTAGACGTCCCATCATCCATGGCTTGCTCCCACTTGGTTGTATACTCCAACTGTAGGGCCTCCTCAAAAGGTTGTGGTTCCCATTCATCAGCAACAGATAGTGAAATGAAGGTACATACATATCTGGTACTCTGATAGTACAAGATGATCTTCTCAACACCGGTTCAGGTGTCACTTGCTCTACTGCTGGTTCCTCTGCAACAACCTTAGAAGTTTGTTGAGTATCTGCTACAAGATCATTAGGTGATTTTTTCCGCAACTCAACCTCAACTTCCACTTGCTTTGTTGTCTTGGAACCTTGCTCCACATCTGGTTCCATTTTCAACCGCACTTTCTTCAATTCTCTGGAGATCCTTGTGAAGCTAACTCGTTTCTGCTTACTCATAACGTAGTTCTCACAACGACCCACATCAACAGATTTCAGACCTTCTAAAACTCCTTTCGCAGTCAGCCTCTTCATTCCTTTCGCGCTCATATGTTCGAGTCTATTGTGCCGTAGACTTGAATTTGAAGCACTCTCAGCAACAGCAGCTATGTTCATACACCCTGCAGTGGTGTATAAGGTTCCAGATTTTGAGCCACGTGCTACCACCATAACACCCTTCATAATCTTCCAAGAACTCTTTCCTAACTTTGATCAATAGAGATCAGGTTCCTTTTGAGTCCAGGAATATATCTGACATCCTTTAATGTCCACTGATTTCCTGTCGGAGTTTTTATGCAGACATCTCCTTTTCCTTTAATCTCCAAATCTTTGTTGTCTGCAAGATACACCTTCTCAAAATTTTCAGACTTGAAATTCCTGAACAACTCTTTATTTGGAGACGAATGAAAAGATGCACCTGAATCCAAAATCCAGGATTCAATCGAACTGTCCGCGCTAAGGATTAGAGCATCCCCAATGTCTTTTGCTGAATTTATAGAATCATCATTATCTCCAGATTTTTTATTTTCTTTTTTGGTCTTGTACAACTTGTCTGAAAGTGACCTTTTTCTCCACAATTCCAACACGTTACGTTTGGTCTATTTGGAGATTTTTCTCGGTTCTTTGATTTTGATCGCCCTTTGTTTGGGCCCTTCGGTTTACTTCTTCCCCGTTGGTCAACACTGAGAGCACTACTAGATGAATTTCCAATTTCTCGTTTGCGAGTAATTTCGCTGAGAACTATATCTCGAATTTCATCAAACTTCAGTTTATCAGATCCTCGCGAACTGTTGATTGCGGCAACAATAGTATCCCACGACTCGGGTAAAGATGACATCAAAATCAATGTTTTAATTTCATCCTCGAAATTAATTTCCATCGAATTCAGTTGACTTACGATCATATTGAATTCATTTATATGATTAACAAAAGATCCACCTTCAGACATCTGTAGGTTGAACAATCTCCATATCAAATACACCTTATTCATAGCCGACGGTTTTTCGTACATATTTGACAGCGCTTTCATCAGATCTGATGTTGTCTTCTCCTTAATGATGTTAAAAGCCACGTTTCTAAATAGTGTCAACTGGATCATCCCTAAGGCTTTTCGATCCTTGAGCTCCACTGCTCCGTGGTCATGGTATCCGGCTTCACCCCCAATAGAGGTTCGTGAAGATCTTTCTGGTACAGATAATCTTCAATCTGCATCTTCTAGAAACCGAAATCGGATCCATCGAACTTCTCAATTCCAATCTTTGAACTTTCCATCTTCACAGATCGTGGTGAATTTCGCCTAGCTCTGATACCAGTTGTTATGGTCGCACAACAACACACACGCTCGATCTAGATGAACACAAAGAATAGGATAGAGAAAAGTGCAAGGAGAACTCTGGCTAAAAGGATTTTCTTGCACTGCTTCCGACCTAATTTAGGGAATGATCATGAGTTTATAAGTGAAGAATACTAACTCCATTGGTATGAGGCCTTTTGGGGAAGCTCAAAACAAAGCCATGAGAGCTTATGCTCAAAGTGGACAATATCATACCATTGTGGAGAGTCGTGTTCGTCTAACAAACTTTTGACTGTGATTAGGGTCTGTATGCCTTTAATGAACCAACATGTTTGCACTTTTGATTTTTGCTCGAATGATTTAACGTGTTTAGTGTGACAAATGACTAAGTGTCCTATATGGTGTTTTGAGCTAGAATATGGTCCAAAGATATGTGCAGACTTGAGTAGGACATGATGGATTACATGAACCGTAGAAGACCCTTAAAGATTGACCATGACGAGTTAAAAACATTTTCATAACCTTAGCAGTGCCTTGTAAGAATTATTATGGTTAACTAGCTAATTTTAGTAGCGAACGTCTTGATTAGTTGGAGTTTACTTGTATACCGAGGGCATACCTAGATTGGTCCCGTTTGGTTAGGGCCTTGATATAAGAACCTAATGATAAACTCGATGAGATTCAAATGTACCGCATGTGGAAAGGAACTCACGACCTCCCAAAGGGCTCTCGCTTTGCAAACTAGCATATAGGAGAGAGGCTTTCCAAAACCTTTTTTTTTTTTAAAGATTAAAATACTTTAATACTACTTTTGAATTCCTATATTTTTGAAATATGGTACTAATTACTCTTTCCCGGTCTAATAATAAATATATATATTATATATATATATATATATTTTTTTTTTGTCTAAAAGTATTAACCAAACCTTTGAGAGAAGAAGACTATTAATAAAATTTTGGAAAGTTAAAAAATATTTTTTCAAACTTTAAAAAAATTTTATTGAAATGCTCGAAAATTAATTAGAAACAAATTATTAACTATTTTCATTAAGAAAAACTATAACTATATGGTTAATTTTAAATTTATAACTATATGGGTAATTTTTAACTTAAAACTTCTAAAAGTCCAAACATAAACTCCACGTATTTTTATTAATTAACATTTTTTTTAATTTTTTTAATTATTATTATTATTATTTAAATTCACATTTTTAAATGAAATTTAAACCGAAATGGAAAAGGCCCGTTAGCCCACAGCCCATATTGTGAAAAAAGCCGGAAAACAGGAGTACATCTTAACCCGCAGGTTCAGTCGACAACTCCAGCCGCCTCACCTCAAACGCTCGCTCTCATTTCACTCCAACGGCGACGGCACCAGCAGCCTGCGGCGAAGTCTCTGTCTCTGTCTCTTCAACCTCTACGGCCGTCTCGACGGAACTCACCTTCTACGAATTGATCTAAATCGGTCCAATACCCATTCAGATTTCTCCACTAAAACCCTCCCTTAAGCCCTTCCGTTCATCCCTCTCCGCCCAATGCTACGCTTCTACCACTCCCCTACTCTCTCAAGAGTCCTCCTCCTCCGGCGGTTTTCCTCCGCTGCCACCGCCACCGCTCCACCCCTCGATTCCGATCCCGAACCTTCATTTTCGTACTTGGAGGGTTTTCCGAGGCCAGATCCGAAGTTCGCCGAGACAATCCTCGCCATTCCGCGCTCCATCTCCGGAAAAAACATTTCCGTTAAAGAGCGCAAGGTTGGCCGCACTCCAAGCATCGTGTTCGAGCAAGAGGACGGTCAGCATGGCGGAAATAAGCGTCTCATATCTGTACGGACTAATCAAGTTAGGAAGCTTGTAAATCATCTAGGTCGCTCTTTCTTCCTCTCCAGGCTTTTTGATCTCGAAGTTCGGTCCGAGTTCGAATCCGGGGATATTGTTGAGAAGGTTCGGGTTTTACCTCGGAAGGTACTCCATTATCTTGTCTGGATGGACTAAATTTCGCTTTGGATTTTTCATGAAATTTCCAACTTATTGAGTTTGTGAGATGATTTATGAGGAGGATTAGAATAATTGATTGTTTCATGGTGGTAAAGGAGCTGAGAGCATTGTGCGCACTGTAGTTTCAATCATCATTATATGTCATGTATTGTCTTGATTAATAAGAAGATAAGAAGATGGGTTTAGTTTAATTTTGTTTGTAAGTTAGTGTAAAATCTTGTGAGAATATTTATATAATATAATGCCCATTCTGAACTTGCACCATCCATGTTTGTTCAGATTCATCTTCATGCGGGAACAGATGCACCACTTAATGTTACTTTCATAAGGGCACCTTCACACGCTTTATTAAAAGTTGATGTACCTCTTGTTTTCCGAGGGGAAGATGTATGTCCTGGATTGAGGAAAGGTACTGCTGCAAGACTAAGTTCCTTTTATTTGATTTTCTTT